GGAGTGGGGGAGTGGGGGGCACTGCTAGGAACCTGGACGGGGAAACCCCTCACCCCAGGTCCTGGCCTGGAAGTTCCCACCGGGGGTCTCTGAGCCACACCTTGGTCCCTGAGCAGGTTTCCTGCTGGGCTGTGATCCTTGACCTCCCGTCCAGCCGGGGGACCCAGGAGGAGGAAGTGCCGGGTGCTAGAGGAGAGCTTCTAGGGACCAGGGAGACCTGCTGCCCTGGAGAAAGGGGGCTCAGGGCCTTGTGGTCTTGGGGGCTGCACCCCTCTAGCCAGAGGCCAAGGATCCCACCCCTTTTGCTCCCAGCAGGGCCCTGTCCTTTCAGGCGTCATTCAGGGCCCTAGCCATCCACTTCCTCTCCGGAGGCGTTTGCCCACTGAATGTGGGAGCGTGGACCCCCGAGTTCTCTCACTGGGTGGCTTGGAGCCAGGCAGGGAGCCAAGCAGAGGCTCTCTAGGCGGGGACAGCGGGCAAGAGGCAGGTGGCACGGGTGTGTGAATGCCCCTACGCCTGTGGCGGTTCTTGCTGAGCCAGGAGCTGGAGGGCTGGGCATCCATGGAGACTCTCCGGTCGGGTCGCCCAGCTCCAGCCCTGCTTCCTGCCCCCTGTCCCCAAGTTACACAGGGGGGCAAACGCTCTCACCCTTTGTCTCAGCCGCCTCCCGGTCCGTTCTCACGGGTCTGCGCCCTGCCTTTCCCTGAGGAGGGCACAGCTCCCTGTCTGTGAGCATGGCTCACTCCGGCCCCCCCACCCCCACCCCAAGCGGAGCCAGGGCACTGGGCTCCCAGAGCCCCACCCCTTGCTTTTCACCATCACAGGGGCTCCGGGCCTGGCCTGGGAGACTTCACTCATGGGGTGGGTGGTAGGAGTAAAGGGGGTGTAACATATGGTGACAGAAGATGATTTGAGTTTGGGTGGTGGGCCATATACAGATCTTGTCACCTGGAAGTCCACACCTGACACCTACATGATCCTATGAACCAGTGTCACCCCAATCAGTTTAATTTAAAAAACTGAACCCACGAGGAAGGACCCGGCCCTCCTGCCTAACATCCCCAGGCCTTCCCGCACTCTCCTGGGATTGTGTAAGGAGGCGGGGTCTCTGGGAGCTGGGCCCACTCCTGGGGATAAAAGTGGGAGGGGGTGCGATGGGAAAGTCCTGACTCATCCCTGCCTGACTCAGCTTGCTCTGTGGCTGGTGGGAGCAGGGGGATGGTCCAGAGGAGAAGCCCATGTCCTAACAGCCCTCCCCAGCTGAGTACAGGTCCCGTATTCACAGCTGTAAACCTAGGAGGGGGGTGGGCCTGGCCCCGTCCCTGCCCCCCAAGGGGCCTGGCCCAGTGGCTGGCATGTGGGAAGCCAGCCCGCCCATTACAGGCTCCGCGCTCTGTCCTGACCCTGCAGAGGGGCACTGCTGTGTTGGGGACACCATGGGCGGGGGTCTTGGCACTTCCACTTCTTGGTCCCTTCCTTTTCCTAGACCTCAATGTCCTCATGGTGAAATGGGTGACTAAACCCGACCCTCGCCCTGGCCAGCTTGGCTCAGTGGCGAATGTCACCCTCCAACCCAAGGGTCTCAGGTTCAAGTCTTGGTCAAAGGCACGTACCTCCCCGTGGGGGAGGCAACCAGTCACTGTCTCTCTCACAGGACGTTTCTCTCTCTTCCCTTCCACTCTCTCTCAATGGAAAATGTGAGGATTAAAAACAAATAAACAAACTACCTCCCAGGAGGTGGTAAGCAGTGAGGCTAAAGGAGGTGGTGGAGCCTGAGACCACCTCTGCCGCCGGCCCCCAGCCCTCCCGCCTCTGCTCTAACCCGAGCTGGTGCCGGGAAGGGCCCTGGACTTTGAAACCTTCTCTTGAGGCCCCTCCCTTCCCAGAGACAGATCTGAGCCCGAAGGCTCATGTGCCCGGGGTTAGGTTAGGGTTAGACTGGGGGGGGGGGGGGGAAGGGGGGCCCTGGTCCCTGGTCCCAGCCTAGCCTCCAGCAGCCGGGTGGGGAGCAGCGGGACTGGGCAGCAGTGCCTGGTGGGCCTGTCACCTGGGCTAGGCTGCAGGCCCAGGACCCCCCTACTCCCTCCCCAGGATCGGCTGCGGGGGGCTGGGCTGGGGCGGGGAGCGGCGGGGCGAGGCTTCTGCTGGTGTGTTTGTTGGGATGTATCCATGGCCCTGTGTGTGTCTCTCTGTGACTACCGGCTGCTAGGGCTCCTCGGGGGCCGGCCTCAGTCTTTCCATCTGTGCAATGAGCCGGCCGGGCGCGCGCT